TGTGCTGCATCAATAACACTATGATTTCGGTAGTGGAATTTATATGTCATGTCCTGCCTCCTGCAGCCTCTACTCAGAAGCCACCTCTCGGTGGACATTTTCTTGTTGTTGTTAAAGCATCTGACCCAGTGAATCTCCTGCTGATTTATTCATATGTGAAAGAAGATCTCTTGAAACTCTGCACTCAATATTCAAAACATTTTCTGGGGTTAATTTCTAAAAAAAGAATTAAACATTAAATTGACCTCTGCTTATGTTCACATCTTTTTTTAATCACCATTCTTTGCATAATCATTCCTCAGTTAACAATAATACATATGAGTTATTATCTATAGTGTCACTTATAGCTTCTATGACTTTTGACAGAAAGCAAAGACAGATCCTGAAGAGTGTTAGCATGGACACAGAAAGAAACAAACTACCACATGTAGACAATCTCTATGTCGATATACGACACAAATGCACTCAGAGGAAAACCACAAGAGCAACATGAAGACTCACTTTGATGTATCAAACTTTAAAATACCAACATGTATCATATCCAACAATATATCTCTGATTACGATGATACATCACAGCACTACAACTGAATCAAGCAGACGGACAAATCACCAAGCAAAACAGTTTCAGTGGAACTTCCTGTGATACTCCCATCAGACCTACAGGGTTTTGCTCTCCCGCTGCTGTGATTTGATACAATGGGAGTAGACAGTGCTATTTATGTGCTGATTGCAGTTGTTACATCAGCAAAAAATTCTTGTCAGGTTGAGTGCCATCACTAGCGAGGTTAGCTAAACAGATATCACATTAGTGTGTGTTTTTGTATGCACATTTTTGTCACTCATTTAAGAGAGTACAGGCCTGTGTGTGTGTGTGCGGATGTGCGCGCAGCTTTGTGCATCTGTAAACTAGTTTGTCGAGCCTCTGTGCACCTCTTTCATTACAGCAATTGCAATCTGTTAAAAAAGAGATTAGATGAGAGGATGTACTGTGTAAAGTCTATTAGAGGAATGAATTGCTTCCTGTTCTCTGTGTGGTCTTACTCTCGCTGAGGATTAACAGTCTCTCAGGTTGATAAAAGCCTGGATTCTCCGCCTTCATGTCTGCTGGAGCCCATTTAAAAAAAAAAAGGAGTTTTACGCCTGCAAAATTACCAAATATAAACTGTAAAAACATTAAATATGCTTTTTTGTATTGTTCAGAGATGGTTAACATTCAATTATACACTGATACCAAATAATAATAAAAGCAGATATATTATAAAGACATACAGTAAATCTCAGAGCAATGGCCCATCCCTGTGATGACCATTCACTGTACAGTGTGCACAACTAGTTTATTTAGTAATTCGAGTCGAATTTCTCCACACAAAACACCATCAATTATACTTTTTGTTGGTGTTTTAGGACCAGATGACATTTTGGCTCATCTTTGCTCACAGCTTACTGCATGAACAACCAAATCCTGCTCAAATGTGATCAGTCGAATGACAAACAGAATCGAAAAGACTACCAGCCGGGAAAAAAATAATCTTATCCCTCACCTACAGATTCTGAATATCCACAGAGTCTGTTCATAGAGACAAAAAGATATTCTACCTATAGGAATATACAAACGTGGGTGCTGTATAGCTCACCGGCTAGCGCCCCCTTGCTGTGTCAACCCCCCCCTCCACCGACCAACCTTCGTTCTCTCTTTGTCCCCATTTCACACTTGACTCTCTGCCCTTTCAAATCATAAAGCCCAAAAGTTATACTTAATGAAATATATAAACTGCACAAACACATGTGAGTATACTCTGGATTATAAAAGTGATCATTGCAGTTAGATTAAAAAAAACCAACAACCTGCAAATAGACAAATATCTCAGGGCTGTCTTTGTTCTCTGGAAAAACTTACTCCCCAAAAAAACACTTTTGTAGCCACTCGAGGGATTTAAATAGCCGGCACTGTCGTCACAAGCTCATTTCTCCCAACGTTACCTTCCTGTCACCCCATTTACGCCTTCTGGTGAGATATGCAAAAAACCCATTACAAGATGCTGCAGGTAGGATTGCCACTTGTGATCTGGAGCTTTAAAATACAGAAGAAAAGTGCACAGATTTACATTAAACCAGGCAGTTAAACCACCTGAAACAGATATTTCACCATCATTAGACTGCAGGGAAGTCCTGGAGGATGTGTCCTATAAAACACTGTAATATTGAACACATGTCCAAAGCACAAGAAATTATTATAACCACTGATCAACCCTGGTTTCCAGTGGTCACCTTACAGTTAGCCTGACAAAAATGTTAATGAGGTGACAAGAGACAGATAACATTTTCTTTCTTTCTTACAGTTCTCTACACAAACTAGCAAACAATTACTGACATTAATTTCATTGATCACTAATTGATTATTGATCCTTCCATTACCTACTAGGAAAACTAATCAAGTTAACAGATTATAATCGATTTAGTTGGCAACTAATTTAGTCATCGATTAGTCTGGTCTGTTATAATACACGGCACACACTGTGGCAGAGTCTCCTGAGGTGGGGGGAGTAAACCAGCCAATCCCCAGCTTTGTGTCGCTCATGTGAGAACGAGTCTTCTCCCTCATCTTTCTCTCTCGGTGGATCGTTTAGGTTCATACCACAGTGAGGGTGTGCCACTGTTTCATGTGAAATCAGCTTTTTGTCTTCTATCTGATCAAAATAATTGTTAGTTGCAGCCCTTAACTCATCTTTCTTTGTTTCAGTTTTTTACACAAACCTGCAAAAACCTTTTAACAAAACAACTGCTCACTTCCACATCCAGAAAAACACAAAGCAGCATTATGATTACATTGGACTTGTTGTCCTACCTCCTCACAACAACAAGTCCAAAATAAATATGTAGTATAAAAATATGCATAAAACATGAACAGACCTTGGGTTTTTTTTATTGGTCTTATTATGTGAAGTCAGGATTTAAGCCACAGCTAATCATGCTCATCTTAAATCAACTGACACAGTTACCTACTGAAGGAGGGCACACAAGAGTCACTACATCTACAACACTGGATTACTGACAAGTGGAATAACACCCTCTTCAGACAGATTTACTCTTCTTAGCTGTTGTCTTCTGTCAACGGAAGTTGATCATGATGTACAGCTTCAAACTAAATTTGATTTACACACACAGTGCAGACGCTACACTGTGCTCCGTCACTCTGGATTCTTTTCTCTCCAAACCTCTTAGAAGATTAATATCCTTCTTTTCTTTTTGCCCTTTCCCCCTCTCCCACTTCAGTCACGTCTTTTATTCTCTCTTTCCTCTTCAGTTGTGTGTGTGTGTGTGTGTGTGTGTGTGTGTGTATGTGTGTGTGTGCAACTTGCTCCCGCTGTTCAGCCCTTTTTTCTCCCTTTTTTGTATTTTGAAACTGCTTGTATCCAATCGATCTCTGTCTGGCAAAGGGGATTTTTTTTTCTCCTCCGCAGTTGCATTTTGGGTCATCCTGTACTTTTGCTGTAAGGTCAGTCACAGGAAACGGACGCAGTGGAGAGGACATGGCCGATATGAGAGCAGGGGAACAGGGACATGAATTACCTTTGGTTTGCGGATTAGTCTGCGCTCAGAAAGAACTGGAAATTCAAACCCCCTCACACGAGCACACAGACACTATAACACAGAGGCAGAAACATATTTACCCATATCCAGAGACTGCATCATTATTGCAGTCTGAACAGAATCATAAACAGCTGCTGTGTGCTGATTTGTTTGGAGGTCAGGTCTTGCCTGTGTGTCTTGGGGTTTTCACAGGGAAGTGGCAATCCTCCACAGTCATCTGGAACTCCCTCCCATGAAATATCCATAAGTGGTTCTGTGTATTTGATGTTTATTGCCGCTTTAAACACATTTATACCAGTATATGTACAGACTTCAAATACCACAATCCTCTCGATTTAGTATTTGGCCATTGAAACAAGGATTAAGTTGAATAACAAGTAAGTATATTTACTCGGGTAAAAGATAGGCAGAAGATGAAAATGTGAAACCCCAAGATAGATTGGATTAATCTGAGACTCTAAATTTTCTCTAGGTGGGAATGTGAGTGTCAGTGGTTGTTTGTCTCTATATGTGAGCCCTCCGACCGGTCCAGGGTCCCCCGCTTTCGCCAAATGTCAGCTGGAATTGACTCCAACTCCCTTTGCTACCCTAAAAGAATAAGCAGTACAAATAATATATGTATACATGGATCAGTAACTGTTGTAGTTGGTGGTTATAAGCAGGTTCTTTAAACGCACATAAACTCATTTGATCATTTGATTGATTCCATTACCATAGTACAGGAGCTTGCCTTCCTGTTTTTCCCCCCTGTGACTCATGTTCTCCAACTCACCAGAAATTGAGAAGCTCTCTCTCACTTCTCTGTCTTGTCAGTGTTGCATATGCACGACCCGAAGAACAAAATCGCTGCTACACATTGTAGTACAAACCAATAAGTACACGTTGTTCATGGCTAATTATGCACCCAGAGGTTATGTGTTATAACGTTGCCCCAGAAAAGGTGCAGCGAGAGCATCTAGACTGACAAAAAGGTGTCATGTTTCCATGGTAGGATTTTGGATCAGTGGAAAAGTGGCTTTAGTGAGAACATTTCTTCCACAACAAGGCTACGCTTATGTGCACACACTTTTATATGCACACAAAAATACACACACATTAGCATAACACTCCTATTCTCACTTTTACATAATGTCATCACTTGTATGCAAACTCCTGTAACCATCCTGCAACCCCACTGAGAAACCTTTAATTGCATCTCGCTATGACAGGTGCAGAGACAGTTATTACATTATTACTGTCAGACTTCAGCATCTGTAGGTTTTGACATCTGCATCCACCAATCCTCTACAACAGTTGCAAAGCACAAGAAAAACAACACACTCAGTTTTGTTCTGTGTAACAACAGAGGAAGTTATTTGCATTTGTAATCCTCTCTCCTCTCTTTTCCTCCCGTGTGTCCCCCTGCAGCTCCCCCAATGATCCGGCTGTCAGTCAACGACACGGTGGTGGTGGATCCTGGGCAGGACGTGATGTTAACCTGTGAGGTGACTGCAGGTTTCCCTCTCCCCAAAGTGAATTGGTCGTGTTCTGCTGGCGACCTTCCCCTCAGCGCAAAGGTTCAAGGGGCAACACTCATTCTGCGTGCGGTCACACCGGCGGACGCAGGCTTTTACAACTGCTCGGCTGTCAACAATGTGGGCAACCCTGCACGAAAGAACGTCAATGTGGTTGTCAGGAGTAAGTGACACGTGTGTTTTTGTTCACAGAGAAGAGGGTTAAACAAAAGGTGGCAGATTTTAGGTGAACTCTTGACATGGAAAGGATGTGCAGTGCGTGTGTCCATTTTCTTTCCTTTTGGTTTGGGTTCATAATATTCAACATAATTTATCCTTTATTAATCCAGAAATAATTTTGATTCCTCATTTCCTGGCTTTGAAACAGAAATGAAAGCATGGCTTTTAGGATGTTTTTATTAATGTTGTTTCCACTCATTATGTTTTCCTCACTCATTTTAATCACTGAGGGGAAAGGGGCAACAGATTATAAAAGCATTTTATTATTATTACTATATAACAACAAATACACACACAATCACAAACGATAAATACCTCAGTATTTTCTAATTCATGAGAATAAAAATGTACCCCTGCCAAAGAGGTTATGCTTCTTTGTTTGGCAGGGGTTTGTATATCTGTTTATAAATTACACAAAAACAACTGGATGGATAACCACAGAACTGAGTGAAAGGATGGGGTATGGTTTAGGGAAGATCCTGTAAATTTCAGTGTGGACCCAAATCATGTGTCATCATGTGTGTGTGTGTGTGTGTGTTTGTGTGTACATTGTATGTGTGTGTGTGTGTGTGTGTGTGTGGTGTGCGGCACACGAGCAGTTGATCCATCACTAAAGAGAGCTGGTGTGAAACTTTGCTCATTTTTTTTAATTCCCCTACTGTTAAAACAGAAGCCTTCTATTCTCCCTCCTCTCCGGCTATTTTTAGCCCCTTTAATCATCTTTATTCACTCCAATTAGTGAGACTGGAGTGGAAGCAATTAGCGACACTCTCTTCTGTTAGTTAACACTGTAGCGAACGTATGCTGGATGGGTTTCTCCTGTAAGCTTAATGGGCCTGAACGCATCGTCACACCAGTGCAGGTGGCAAACGGCATATGATACGACACACACTCTCACATGCTCACACACGCACACAGTGAGTGGAGAAATAGAAGCTGGCAGGTGGCACATGCACTTGGAGACACATACAGCCACAGCCTCCCTGCATGACACACACAAACACACACATTACGGCTGAGACTGCATCCTACCAAGCAGGTAAAGTTGCATTCTTGTTAACCATATGGTCACTGCCTTATATCCTTGGCTTGACCCAAGGATCTTGTTAACAAGCTCAAAAGAAGTTAAAATCAAGCCTCCCCCACTCTCCTCCTGGCTGCCATGCTCTCCCCTTGGTGTGGAAACAGAAGAGCTGTTTTGTATTCAACATGGAAATCTGTTGGGGAAACGCAGCCTTTGAAACTGAAAATTAAATGTGACAGTGTGAGAGTTACTCTTTGTCCTTGATTTTGTTTCCCTCCTCCTCCTCGTGCCCCCGTTATTTTATTCCGTATCGGGCTCCTTTTGTCTCTCCCTCTTTCACAATTTGCTTGTTCCTCTCTCTCTCTCTCCCCTTCTTTCTTCTTCGGTTTCCTTTGGTTTTGTTTTTTTGTCACGCTGCCTCTTCCTTCTCATGCCGCACATGCTCTGTCACATATCTTCCTTTCTGTATTAGCCATCTTTCCTTCCTCCTAATTCTCTCACAATACTAAACAAACTCTTTATATCCTTGTCATTCTTAACACGTATTTCCACAGGTGGAAAAAGTACTGTAAAATTGGATCAAAGTAAAAGTACTATTATAACAGGACATTTTTACTCAAGTAGAAGTGAAATGACAAATACAAAATTGGTGTGGATTGGTTCATCAAGATCCATGAATTATACAACAAATCCACAAAAACTTTGAAATACACCCCCGTGATGTTAAAGGAAGCAGAAAAAAAATACAAGATCCGCCCCCTGATCAGCACCAATTTTTTATTTTAGGCCTGTTGGGCCTTGGCGGGGGTATGCACTCCAAGTGCTATTCTATTCTATTCTAGTACTTTAAAGTAGAAGTAAAATTGTTTTTGGACTTTAAAGTTAAATTAAAATAAAAGTACAGAGTAGGTTATTCACAATGTTCGGTTTGGTGCGGTTCTTCAAGGATGTGGATCTTTAGTGATGGTCAGAGTTCTATGAGGAAGTGTGGAGCTGATTCTTCTGAATGAGGAAGGTTCGGCTCAGACACAAGAATCAATGATTCTTAGTTTAGGTACATTAATGCAGCTCTTTATTTTTAGCATGAAGAAGAAATCAATTAATTGCAGAGATGATATTGTACAAAATACACTTGAGAGAAGCATCATAGACTTGTTACCTTCACTACATATACATAGAACACATCGGAAGTATTCAGCTTCCGCAGAAAGAGCCTCCTGAATATACTCCTTTCTTGACATCAGACGTAGATTCATTTTCCCTTAGGAGAATAACATATTATAATTATCAGGTGTATATGCATTGGTATTTCAAAACATATTCACTGTCACATCACACAAACAAGATTCAATTAAACAACTCACCAATGTAAAGCAACTCAGTGCAGCAGCTCTATTAGGACTTTTCAGTGGCTTTGCTGTGACATGAGGCTTGTTCAGGAGAAACCAGTGATAGAGAAAGTGCTAAATAAAATACAGACCATTTGCAGCCAATTCTTAAACTGTATGTAAAAATAGTGACCCTTGTGGAATATGCTAAATTTGAATTTGTGAGTTGGTCTTTGAATTTCTAAGTGAATTTCAAGCCAGTGCCGCAAATATGTTAAGATTGGTATATTTTAAATCATTTTAATATTTTTCTCTTTATTGTTGTTTCTTGCATTCAATATATTTGTCATTTCCCAGTATTTTCTGAGTGATAAAATAAATAAATAATATCTCAGGTGACATTCCCCCTCCATTCACTTTTTTTTTTAGACCTCACCACAGCCACTCCCTCGCACCGTACAATCTGTTTAACCCTTCTTCTCTCTTCTTCCTGTTTCTACCACCACACACAGCGATGAGCAACCTGACCTTTCAAATTACACCCGACTCCAACAAGGACAGTGAGAGCATCCAAATGGGTCGGGACCTCAAGCTGTCGTGCCATGTTGATGCCACCCCGCAGGACAAGGTCAACTACACCTGGTACAAGAACGGCGCACCTGTCTTCAACTCGGACAGCCTGATCTTGCTGCGCAGTGACCCTGACATGGCACCCGGCACCAGCAGCTTGGAGATTGTGGACATGAAGTTCAGAGACTTGGCTACCTACAGCTGTGTGGCAAATTTCCCCGGGAGCAGGGTCCCGGAGCTCCGTGTGGATGTCAACATCTCTCAGAACAGTGGTAGGATTTTTTTTTTTGCCTTCATATTTCCATCAGACTGAGACCATTTCTTTGAAGTGATAAGACAAAATAAAAATGCTTGAATTGGGTCAATACTCTTTAAGTACAAACACTCTTTACTTTAAAGTGAATTTGATAGAACCTGCATTGGTTAGAGGTCAGTCAGATATCTGAGGTTATAAACTGGTAATTCAGATTCAAGTTGCTTTATGAAAAATTCACCTTCACAAAAATGCATTTTCTTCATTGACTTGCTGCCATGTGTAATCCCTTTTTTTATCATTTATGTTTTTAATCCAGTCAGAGCCAGTTGCTGGAGGCATTCAGTTTTCAGGTTGTCTGTCCATCCATCAGCTGTGTGAAAATGTTTTAACGACACCTTGATTTGAATTCCATAAAAATCCGTACAAATGTTTAGTTTGACTCAAGGATGAACACATTAGACTTTGTTTTTTTAGGTCACAGTGACCTTTCACCACCAAACTTTTTTGCCTTGTGAACATGTGTGGAACAGATATTAACTTAGAATGAAGCGTTGAAGGTACAGTGTGTAGAATTTTGTGATATCTATTGGTGAAATTGCATGTTCCAGGTGAACACTCCTCACCTTACCCTCACCATCCAAACATGTAAGAGAACCTGTGGTAGACTTCAGTTGTCATAAAAACTAAAAAGGTGTTTAGTTTGTCCAGTCTGGATGGAGGCGGACATGTAAAAAACATAGCGGCCTCGGGAGAGAGGACCCCCTGGATGTAACTATAACATTTTTAAATATAAAGGGCCTTTTCTGGGGTAAATAAAACTACAATTCATACAATTTAAATAAAACAAACTAGTGAAAACATCATGAAGATTATTCTACATTAAATTTCTGCCAATAGTTCCCTTTCAATCTTATACACTGGACCTGTAACTGATTACGTTTGGGTGGTGGAAGTTCAAAGGTCATTGTGTCCTCATACATACATGTGCTTGGCTGCTACAACTATATCTCAGCTCTGCCTCGAGGGAATTTCTTCACATTTTGACCAGTTGGGCTCAAAGATACAATGATAAGATGTCACTAGTGAGAGGTCACAGTGACCTCATACGAGTCTGTAAAAAATGTGTGCATATAGTTAAACTGCGCTGGTTGTCACAGGCACACAACCATAGGGCATTAAATTCTTTTGCTGTGCACTTATGCATTGACTCGTCGACCTGAGCCATTTAGAAAAGTTACACTTTTCTCTCAGAAAACCTCTCTGCTTTCACTTGCATGCATAATGTATTTGTTAATATTTGTATTCTATATTTATATTGTGTCATTGTTTTACATAAGAAATTCATAATGTTCCCATACGTTATTCATGTTTGTCTCAATTTATGTAGAAGCAACAGATTCAAGTTTCACATTTTCTCACTATTTCTTTACTCTTTTGTTCTTTCAATATTTTCCAGTCTCTCCTCCAGTGCTCTCTGTTCCGCCAGGAGGTCAGGTGGTCAACGTGCGAGAGGGAGGCATTGCTGAGCTGGTTTGCCTGATAGTGGATGGCAAACCACGTCCACCTATACTCTGGTCACGGACAGAAAAGGACCTGCTAATGCCGTCAAAGACGCCTGTGATGGAGACTCCTGATGGCCGCTTGAGGCTCAGGAATGTCAGCAGGGACATGATGGGGGCGTACCGGTGCCAGACTGCTCCGTACAATGGGCTTAACATCAAGCGCAGAGAGGCGCAGGTCCAGCTTAACGTGCAGTGTAAGTGTGGATCTGATTATTTCCACCTAGGAACTCGTCAACTCACAAATCCCAACCACATCCTGCAGATCAAGCAGTGGTACATATTAGATCACTTTAAAGCATAATAAAACTTACCCTTTTGCTGGAGAAAATATAATACCCATTACAAGTAAATACTTCATACTTTAATACTTTAAAGTTTCTACTCCCACTGGTTATTCTCAGTTGCTTTAGCTCACCAGGTGGGCTAAATCAGTGAAGTATATATAACAAACTGTCAATAACAGCAGCAGTGAATTGGGATCCCCTGCTGTATTTCCTCATGTTATTGTCTCTGCCACCATGGAGTAAGATGAAAATCATTGGTTAAAGTGAATAATCTTTACAGAAGTATTAAGGCCATAAACACTCACGCCAGAGGTTTTTATGATACAGACACATACAGAGAAACTCACACAGACCTTAGTGTAGATTAAGATAAATCCTCACACAGACCTTAGTGTAGATTAAGATAAATCCATCTGTACGTTCATACAAAAATAATCCAATAAGTAAACAAATCCACAAACTGAAGCAGTAGTCAGAAACTCATGAAACTACACTCTAGGAAAACATGAGGGCAGCAATCATGCAAAGATAATAGGCAAGCAGGTGAGTGTTTAACAGGTTGGACAGGTGGGAGCAGCAGGGGCAGGACTGTTGGCGAGCAACCAGGAATAGGCACAAGGGCAGGATCTGGAAGCATTTCAAAATAAAACAAGAAGTTAAGATGAATTACTGGACTATTACATCCATATAACTTAGAAAAAAAATTGAAAGACAAAACAAAAATAGTCATTTGTATTAAGATAAATTCCCTGTGAACTTTAAAAACATCTGTCTGTTAAAAATGAGATGAGTCACTAATGTACTGTATTGGTTGAAGAAGACACTATTGCACATCAGTACTTCATTGCATGTTTGATCCAGTATTCACTTCAGCCTTTTCAACACACTCCCATTGCGCACTGTGTACGAGGCTAAATGAAAACGACTGTCGATCAAAGAGATGATATGTACAAGATGAAAGAAAAACATGAGGACACAAACAACACAACCACACATGTTGTGTTGCGATGTACCACAATTGTGTTGTCATAGCTGCATTTATTTGATGCAAATCAAGCAAAACTGCAAGGGGACAGTTTATTTCTGTAGATGGAGAAATTGAAATTATACAGAACTGAATCTGAAAAGGTTGGTGAAGGTTGGTGAAGTAAGCAAGCATTTGTCTCAAAATGTGTGGCTCATTAGGACTAATTTACCATGCTGACATGGTTGATAAATATAGGCCCAAAGCAGCATCCTCTCCTCTCCTCTCACTGCATGCTGGGAGATTGCGTGAGTGGTTGCGGAGTGTACAGAGTTGCTAAATGAGTGGAACAAGTGTTTGACTGACACTTTAATTATGTACTTTCTGCATGTTTCTCAGTGACAGGTAAGAGTGGTTTAATGAATCGATTTGTGTATCTAGGCTGTAAAACATGTAAATTAATGGGTTTTGTACCGTTAACCACAGCGTCTTTCCCTGAGGACGGTTCCCTGTCTGTCAGGGTCAGAGTAGTGGCTGATGCTCGGTACAGTGAGTTCAGGCTTGAAAACACCACATCAAACTCCTCGTTCACATGTTGGTTGAGAAAGGCCTTGTACACGATCAGTGTATTACTTTATTTATTGCCGTCTGGCTGTTGTTTGTGAAGTATATCTCTGTGTCTGTGATTGTGAGCTAATTTAATGAGAATTTAATTGGTTTGGAAAATTTGATGAGGTTTCAGAGCAGTTTGTCTATAGTGAAAAAATGCTTGTGTCCCTGCAGAGACAAGTATTTATGTATTTTATTTCAATAATGTCAGCCTGGCATCATGGAATGTTTTGGGTTTGGATATTGGTCTTAAACATTCATATGGCATCTGCACAGTTCAGGTTGGCCAAAATGCTAAAAGTAGCTCTTTCAGGGTTGAGGCCTAACAGCATTTGGGGATGGACACAATTATGCGAATGTGAAGCAAATATCATCGGTCAAAGTTCACCAAAGTTGAACTTCATGTGAAACCATGCTGCAAGTTGCTTTGCCACAGAAAGTGAAGCCAACCACCTCACTTGCACTAACTTGAATGGAAGCCGAAGGATTGCCACTGAAACGTGTGTACGTGAGACCCTGGCCCTTACCCTGTAGCAGAGGACATGGTCACAGCTAACTCTCCCTCATACATGTAGAAACAACAGTGACAAACAGGAGCAGAGAGAACCAGTCAGACAGTTAATAGTGAGGGTCTATGCAACAGGTGAATCACTCAGTGAAAAAGCTGAAAATTAAATGAGGAATGTTTGAGGAAGCTACTTTGTCACAGTTTCCTGCTATTGTCAAATTTCCACCGGATGAACCAGAGTCATACTCATTAAAGGAGATTAATGATTTCCATGATGAAACTTACAGCACACAGTCTGTGGTAATAACAGATTCCTCCCCTAATGTGGACAGGTTCATTAACTCAGTTATGAAAAGTCGAAAAATTGCTTGGAAATGACCTGCTGAGCAAACAAAGGGGGGTTTTGTTTAAAGAAGATTCTGATTCAATTTATAGAACTTCATGTTTGCGGGTAGGAAGTTTGATGAAGCGTGTCTGAGTCAAACTACAGTTAAACCATAGATGCGTTCTTCTTACATGAGATACATAGCTGTGTAGATAATGAGGTGGAGTGAGCTGGACGGGTCAGTGCTTTTTGAAATGTGGCACCAGCCTCAGTGCGGGGGTTGCTGTTCTCTTCCTGCACATGGAAAAACAAAAATACACTTCAATTCAAGATAAATTATTTTTTATTAACATGTATGCTCATGATTTTGGTGCTGGGAGCTGTTACTATGTGTATGTGCATGAGACACTGGTGGGACTGTCTCAGCTGAGTGAAGCACAGGTAGGACAGGCAGCTTTACTGGAGGCTTCCATCGCTTGGAGATGACTCCGAGACACCACCTCTGTCGATCCGGCAAAGGGATCCCGATTGTTCCATAAGACAGCAGCATTTCCATAGAGGAGGTTCTGCTGGCTGTCAGGGAGCAGGAAGCACATGACGGTCTTTCTTTTGCTTCTAGAATGAACAAGGCCCTGGTTGTGTTTCCCCCTGCTCTTGGTTCCTTCCACACAGATCATCTTGTCTGGTGTTCCTGCTGTTTATTTCAAACCAGCTATTAGACAATGAGCTGCGCAGGTTTGGGAAGTTTGCCAGCGGATTTAGTCTGGGATGTAAAGACTTAAAGCTGAAACGTGTTCTATCGCTGAGGCGGCAGTTGACCCAAACTCTTGAGGTGTCAACTTCATTCAGGGGGAAGTTTGGTAATGGTTCCTACATGGTCCATGTCAGTTCAATGAAGTGCTTTGAGTGTAGAGATGTAGGACACACACGTTTTGCATGGCCACATAAGCAGCAGGTGAATGTGACACCTGCTGTCGGGAAAGCACCGGAGGGTTAATTATCTGACAACAGTAGTGTGGACAAGGAGAAACAGAGCCAGCAGGGTTCTGTGGCTGAAGAGAACCTCAGGTCCTAACAAGCACAGTCTGCAGAACATTGTGAGGCGGTAGCTCCTACAGGTGCGGCAGGTGGAGAGCAATCAGTGAACTTCAATGAAGGACAGAATGTGTCCAGCTGTTCTATGGATGGAGTATGATTCAGAGTCAGATACTGTATAGATTACTGATACTTCTCAAAGCACAGATCTCTATTCTTTAGAATAAACTAATGCTTTTGTGGATATCACCTAGAATAAATCTTTTAAAGTGAGTGACTACTCTAGTAATCGGGTTAATTTGGTCTGTTGGAGTGCTGCAAAGACTGGTTGGCTTTGAATTTGTGGATGAAAACAAATGCTTCCGCCTCAAAAAACACATTACAAGTCTGAGAAAAGCAAAAGCTATAACTGTTAAAAGAGCGATTAAAGTAAAGTAAGTTTTCATGCTGGGCCTTAAGATTGGGTCTTTAAACATCAAGGGTGCAGGGGATAGAAATAAAAGGGCATTAATAACAAAGTAGTCACTCAACAAAGGTTAGATGCGCTGTTTTTTATAAGAGACACACACTATTCCATCAGATGAGGTAGACTGGGGTTTAGGGTGGGACTGCTCAGACCAGTTTTAGTGCAAGGGTTGCTGTCCTCTCTAGAACAAAAGCTAATGCAACAGTTCTGTCATTCAGAGAGGTGGTTAAAGGTCAGCTGCTTGTTGCTTGGGTGGAAATAGTGAGTTCTGTGTTCTGCTTTATCAACATATATGCTCTAAATCAAGAGAGAGTGGCATTTTTCATCAGGCTATTCGACTAACTGCAGAACACCAGATCAGATCCAAATTTTTGGTGATTTCAACTGCACTCTGGAATTCACCCTTGACAGAACTGTGTTGAACCACATCCTCAGTTATCTCAGAGCCTCAGGAACACACCTTACATACCTGGACCTGTTGGACACATGGAGGACTAAACACCCGCACACTTAACAATACACATGGGTTTGGGCAAGCAAGAATAGAGTGAGTGCAGCCAGACAGGACAGAATCTATATTTCCCCAAATCTCAGTTCCACACTAGCACACAGTACAATAAGCATGGTTGGTTTTACAGATCACCACCTTGTCAGGGCAGGCTTGCTCATTTTGTCTGGTGAAAGCGTTGAGTCCTGCTGGCAATTTAATAGCATGCTTTTACAGGACAGACACATCAGGTTTTTATGTCCTTGAAACATGCTTAAAGTTTAGTTAATTGATTACATTGTTCTGGTTTTATTTAAACCAATAACTGGGTGTCATCCACATAGCAGTGAAAAATTAAGTGTGTCCTCAAAATGTTTCCAAATGGAAGCATATAAGGTATAAAATTGGGCCGAGCACAGAACCCTGAGGAACACCATGATTAACTCCGGGTTCAGGGTGTTTTTTTTTCTGAGAAATCCCGACAGTACTCATAACAGAAATAACAGGATGACTGCA